TGTAAAAAATTCATAGTTGATGGGTGATTGTAATTATCCAAATATATGGGAATTTTTTGTAATTTAACCTTATCTCAGGGGTTGTCGTAATTTATCCTCATTTTAAATTGCAAATATCCCAAAGTTTAGAAATAAGTAATTGTTTGCATAGACCACATATATATGGGCTACCATTTATCTTTTGGTTTTTCAAGAAAGGCCCATAATCAGGCCCAAGGGCCTCTTTGTATATGAGGTGGGCACACCGCACACGTCGACGGAATTTCATAGGCGCGTGATCCCCACATACATTGTTTAGATTATTACAAGTATTGCATTTCTTTTTTAATTATAAATCGGAAAATAATGGGGATGTTTGGTTATGTTTCCAATGGGAATTTCTAGTTTTCAAAATTTCTTATGAAAAAAGTAGTTTATTGGTTTTTGTGTAGAAAATGGGAATATGTTTGGATGAAAGAGTATTTTTAGTTTTATGTAGGTGTAGAAATGAGAATATGTTTGATTGTAGTGAATTTTATCTACGAAAGTACGTGCAAAAGTAGAATATGATGATTGAGGATGATGATAGTGATGATGATTATATATTATTATTATTATTATTATTATTATTATTATTATTATTATTATTATTATTATTATTATTATTATTATTATTATTATTATTATTATTATTATTATTATTATTATTATTATTATTATTATAATAATAATAATAATAATAATAATAATAATAATAATAATAATTATTATTATTATGATTATTATTATTATTATTTTATTATTATTATTATTATTATTGTTATTATTATTATTATTATTATTATTATTATTATTATTATTATTATTATTATTATTATTATTATTATTATTATTATTATTATTATTATTATTATTATTATTATTATTATTATTATTATTATTATTATTATTATTATTATTGTTGTTGTTGTTGTTGTTGTTGTTGTTATTATTATTAGAAGAAGAAGAAAGATAAGGTGGGAGGAGAGGGTGTTGATATTGAGGAGGAGAGAGAAATTGAGGAGGAGAGAGGGTGTTGATATTAATAAGAAGAGAGAGAGGAGGTGGAGGAATAAAATATATAGGTTAAGTAGTAGGGATTATGATGGATGAAAATTAAAAATAGTATGAGTAGTGTATTTCCAATAGAAATTTAAGAAGAAAAAATGGGATCTTCTGGATATTATTATACAACCATCATCATCTCATTGTTGTGAGTAGTATAATACTGGATGCTGATTTTGGAAATAGAAACC